CCCAGATGCTCGCGAATCAGAAGTCTTATCCCTTTTTGCTACAATTATAAATAAGTATGTTGTTCTTCTGCTGTTATATCGACTTGTTCTCCGTTATATTTTAATGTCAAGTCAAGTCTATGGGAGGAATAATTTTTTTTTTGCTACATTATTTATTGATATTAACTACTTGTTGAACTAGAACATGTTTTTGGTTAAGTGTTGCTTTGTTGAATTATATTTTGCACAGTTTTTGAAATTTTCATAACTTGTTTTTGTAATTCTTCTCATAAAGGTACAAAAATACAATGATTGAGGACGTGCCTCGTATATTTGAAGCTGTCTTCCAATGCACGTTGGAGGTGAGGATTTGTATAACATACTGTTGCATGTTTGAGAGGCTTACAGTATTCTAACTCTTGGTTCAGTCCAATTTGTTATTATTATTTTTTTTTTGGATTTACTTCTTTATGCTGAAAAGAGTGCTTTGTACGTTTATATATTTAATGTATTCCATTATTTGTTTTTGAGGAGCGTTTCCTGATTGTGTGCCCTTGCAGATGATTACTAAAAATTTTGAAGATTATCCAGAGCATCGCCTCAAGTTCTTTTCACTACTTCGTGCCATTGCCACTTATTGTTTTCCTGCACTGATTAGGCTGTCAAGTCAGGTTTTTACGAGAACAGTTTCCCTTTTATTGAGTTTGTATTACATTCTCAATTGTTGAATTTTCTTACTCTTCTTTTTCATTGAATGCAATTCATTGTTATTTTCATATGGGATATGGGTTTTCTCATCAGCAATTAAAGCTTGTTATGGATTCAATTATATGGGCATTTCGGCATACGGAGAGGAACATCGCTGAAACTGGGCTCAATCTACTATTGGAGATGCTAAAGAATTTTCAGGTACGGTGTTTGGATGTATTCACCTTTACATATCCTGGTAATATGTTCCTATATATTCTGAAAATAATTTGTTTTTGTTGCAGGCTTCTGAGTTCTGCAATCAATTTTATCGAACATATTTCTTGACTATTGAGCAAGAAATATTTGCCGTCTTGACGGACACATTTCACAAGCCAGGATTTAAGTTGCATGTCTTGGTTCTTCAACACTTGTTTTGCTTGGTAATGTTTCATATTTATGCCACTGCTTATACAATAAATATTTCTGTTAGGGATAACTTTTAATTAAAATATGTTAATTGTCAATTTGGTTCGTTACTTTACGGATTGATTTTTTATTCTTTTACTTATTCATTTATTTTGTATAAAAAATAGTCATTTTTTTTCAAAAAATATGGTGTTAATTATTTTATACGTCAGGCGGAGTCCGGAGTATTAACAGAACCTTTGTGGGATGCTGCAACTGTTTCTTATCCTTATCCAAATAACGTGGCCTTTGTTCGGGAGTACACTATTAAGCTGCTGAGTTCATCATTCCCCAATATGACTGCAGCAGAAGTAAGAGCTTGCCCAATTCATTTTTGCTTTCTTCTCTTGCCGTAGTGATTTGTTTTTCTTTTTGCGCACTATTAAAATCAACTTCTTTACTGGGGGTTTTCAGGTCACTCAATTTGTGAATGGCCTGTTTGAGTCGAGAAATGACCTCTCTGTGTTTAAGAATCACATTCGAGACTTTCTGGTGCAATCCAAAGAATTTTCAGCGCAGGTTAGCCTTTAGTTGTACCCTATTTTTTGCTGAGTTCATCGTTGCTGCTATTGAATTGTTATCATTTATTCTTTAACTCAAGTATCGTACATTCCTTCCAACCTGGCTTATCTTGTGAGAGGAAGAATTTTATTTACGCATATACATGAAAGGAAAGGCACTCATCAGAGCTAGCTTCTAATGGGCCCCCAGTTATCAATGTATATTGAAGGAAACATGTGAGGTGGAGGGAGTTATGCTACTTAGTGACTTGGGCGGGAATCCAACGATAAAATTCATGCAGTTGGTCCTAGACTAAAGTAGTTGGATAGGTGGGAGAGATAAGGGGCTCCTGTCTTCCTAAACCTGATTTGTTATTTTCTTTTCGGTATAGGGGGCTCTATTAAATGTGGTATCAGAGGAGCTTATGAGCAAGAAATGTGAATGTGATGCTTAAATTAGGTTTCGAATCTGTTTGCAGGATAATAAAGATCTTTATGCTGAAGAGGCAGCTGCTCAGAGGGAAAGAGAGCGGCAACGGATGCTTTCTATTCCGGGGCTTATCGCTCCCAACGAGATTCAAGATGAGATGGTGGACTCATAAATGTGTCTTATCTCTGTGCAGAAGCAAAAGCTCATGGACTTTGACGAGGTTGAAGTGGGCATTTGATTTGCAGTCCCCCAAATCAAATCCGTGCATGTGAGCCAATACGGATTTTTTTTGCTAATTAGTTTTTCCAGTTCTGCAGAATTTTTTCCCCCCACAGATGGAAGTGAATTTTCTTGAAAAAGACAGCTCATGGCACGGTGGTAGTTTGACTGCTGATGATGGGTAATTCCTATAGATTGAATGTGGAGTAAGTATTTACTATTTAGTTGGCTGATTTTAGGGTTAGAACACATCATAGGTGCGCGGTTTAACCGCAGGATCCACGAGCCAGATTGATATTTGTATTGCAATGTTAGATTGCAACGGTTTGAGGGACAACCCATTTTCCATCTAATGATGATTCATCTTATAGGTGTAACGTATACGATTAGGCCTTGGCGCGGGTTTGTGCAGAAAATTATTCCCTTTTGCCTTTTGTTCGTTCGTTTGGTTGAGGGTAACTTTTGCTTTACAATGTTCTTTAGGGAAAGTCTGTTATATTTTCGTCGATACAGATTCTCTCTATTGGGTTCACATCTTTCTTGTACTCAACTGTGGATGGACTCTTTTATAGGTATAATATTTCTTTCAATGTCCTGTTCTCCTTCTACAAGTTTATTGTTGAATTCAATGCCCTTTTATACCGACCGAGCAAATGTGTTGTAATTGCGGTTGAGAAGTAACAATAATGCCATATTCAGAGCTTGGTTTATCGACTCTATAGCTTTAGCTTTTGTATATTATCACGGTTTATTTTGTTGCTGTAATTGCTACAGGGAATAAATATGTAGTTCATAGAAATTTGACAACAATAGGTCTTTTGAAGAACTAAAAAGCATGAGATTTTCATTGTCCTAGTAAGATATAATCTCATCTTTTATTTTTATTTAAACTCAACAATTTTCGGCAATACGGTATATTAAAACAAATGAAAATAATAGTACTATGTTCTTAAAATATAATATTTTTGTAAGAAATTGTTTTTAATTTAACGTGTTATAATAAGTAAATAAAATGTTGAATATACTATTGTTTTTATTTGTTCTGAATTTTTATAATTATTAAGATAAATGGTTAGGATTTAGTTAGACCTATCATTTGGCAGTGAATCAAGCTGAGTAAATTTATAATTTTATCATATTAAATTTATATTAGATTTAGTGTAAAATACATTTTGGTCGCTTTTGACAGGTTATCAATTTTTAGAAAATAATTCTAAAAGATCCTTAGAATACAAGTTATCAATCTTTAGAAAATAATTCTAAAAGATATTTAGAATAAAAATTAAAATAATTCTAAAAGATCCTAGAATAAAAATTTCGTTAATCTCACTAATAATTTTATATTTTAAGTAGGTGGTATTTTTTCTTTTCCATTTCTTCGTTTTCTCGGTTTGACGGATCAAATTCAATCTTTCGCCTACTAGAAGCTCGCTAGAGGAAGCATCCTCCTTATTCCTCCTTTTTCTACTACTTAATGGATTTTTGCCTGCTCCGACAACACCATCTTAATCTAATCTACCTTAATTAATTTCACAATAATTTTTCCTTTCCAAAAAATTTTGTATTTCAACGGCGGTAGTCATCCTTCTCTTCTTAGGCTTGTTCTAGAGGTTTCAATTTATGTTAGAAGGTGAGAAAATTAAAGGGGATGAGTAGGGGAGGGAGATTACTATATAGGAGCAGGAGCTCTTAGGCAAGAGAAGAGAGACGAGTGTTTGGGGTGTGGGAAAATGAGCAGAAAAGAAAGCTTTTTGTTTTGTCATGTATCTCATCGTTTGTGTGAAATTCCCTCAAGCCGATTTCATGGATTTTGCGGAGTGTGGGAAAGAGGGGGAGAATATAAAATTATTAAATATCAAACTCAACAGCCACGCCAACATCCTGCTAGTGAGAATCTGAGATTAAAGAAATTTTAATTTCAGGAAGCTTTTAGAATTATTTTCTAAAAGTTGGTAACCGAACTGTCACTTTTTGAAACTTACAGATCAAATAGAAATCTACCCTCCAACTCACGGACCAAAAATGTATTTTACCCTTAGATTAAACTTATTCAAACCCATGGAATTATCAAAATAATAGTTGTAGTAGTGATTTAAATGTTTGACGCTGTGAAATGTTATTTTGCCTAAACCACTTAATTTAACTTTAGGTCGTTAGATTTTTTAAGTCGACAAACCGTTGAACTAAAAAAACTGTGTTTTATGTATATTTCAACTTTATTTGTCATTTCTTATACTAGTGACGATTGTGACTAAAAATGATAATTGAATATTCTCAAGTGTTTTGGGCTGAACTTAAAGGACGGAAAAAAGAAAAGTAATTTAGACAACAAAATTGAAATTTTAGATACAAAGTTTAGTCGGTGCATTTAAATGAACTATTTGGCTTAAATGACAATTATTTTGGTCATATATTTCGCCTAAAAAATGTTTTTTGTATATGTTTACAAAACATAGACAAAATAAAATTATAAGGATGTTGCACAAGCAGCTCTCGTAGCTCAGTTGGTTAGAGCACCCGTTTAGTAAGCGGGAGGTCTTGAGTTCGACTCTCAACGAGAGCATTATACGTTTATTTATGCAAATCTAATTATGCCACGCGTCATAACGTTAATGGTGAAGTCAGCCTAATCTCTGAAACCTGACCGTCACTTTAGCATCCACCACCTCTCTTCTTTTAACCGTCACCTTCTTACCCTTTATTTTCCCGGGAAAATATCAGAGAAAATTGGATTTAAGGAAGAAAATTTACAACCATGGATTCCCTGTAACTTTTCCAACCACTCACTTCCCCACTCCACCAACTGTGAAACACGGTTGGTTTCTCCTTTTTTCTTGAACAAATTATCTGCACGATTGTGGCTTTTTTTCCGTCTTATTTTATTTTGGTTCAGTTTTCAGTTTTTGGATTTTTGGATTCTCTTTGAGGGGAGAATCATCTGCTAGAATGCGGTCATGTCACCTTCGGAGCTCAAGCGCTTCCACTACTGCGGTGTTCCCGTACAAGTGTTACTTCCGTTTTTGCACGATTCTCCGGCCGTACGGGCTCGGCCGCTCCGCCAAATTCCGACGCCTTTTTGATCGAATTACCCATATGCCGGTAGTTACTGCATCCGTTAACTCTGTCATCGCCTCTGGAAACATTATTGCGGCTGCGGCTGCCGCAGCGTCGGGTTCTGGATCTATTCATGGTGCTGTGACATCTGCAATCACGCACGTTGCTGTTACGGCCGTCGCTATTGCCTCCGGAGCTTGTCTCTCTACCAAAGTTGACTTCCTCTGGCCCAAAGTGGAGGATAAACCAGGTCCCTTTTTCTCATCCCAGTTTATTATTTTACTTTTCATTGAAATTGGGACATGGTTAAAGGAAACGGGTTTTTGGGTGGGGGTGAGGTTGGTTATTGATTACACTTCACGCGAAATTAGTAGAGAGGTTGCGTTCACCTGCTGTCGTACAGAGATGCCCCCGCTCAGTTAAATTGAGAAAATGTGTTGATCAATCCGAAAAAGAAATCATTTTGAATTTAACCATTTCTCATCATCAGTTTCAGTACACCGGAGGAATCATATTTTGTCCAAACTAGGAGGAAAAAACTATTTTGGCACACAGTGGTCTATTTGAATGTCAAAGTTGTTGCCCTAGTTAGTTTTTTCCTGCTCGTGTTAGAACTTGTGTCGTTACTGATAGCGAAATTGCTTTAGATTAATAGCCTTTTCTTCCTCTTTTTTTCTTTGCGACTGCACCTAAGCTTTGTTGTGCTTCATTCTAGATTCTGCCATTTTCGTATACAATCTACATTATTCAATATTGAGAGAGTTTAAAACAACTTCTTGAAAAATGTGGGTCATGGTGGTAGCAAGATTTCACTGGTCGAGATTTTTTATCTTTTTATTTACCTACATATGGTCAATGTGCTGAAAAGTTGCTAAAGTTTTTCATGGGTATATCACAAATTAATTTCTTTCCTCCTCGTACTAAAGTGTTTTTTTTTTCCATAAAATTTAATTTCCGTACAGGTTCTCTTGTATTGGATGGAGTTGACGTAACTGGATATCTTATATTTCATGATACCAAGGTTTTTCACTTTACTCAAAGTTAGTTTGTGAATTTTCTCATATTCTGCTCTCAAGTTCTCCATCTATGAAGGCAGGTGCAAAAGGCTATTGAATTTGCAAAAAAGGCTCATCATGGGCAGTTACGGAAAACTGGAGACCCTTATTTGACTCATTGTATCCACACTGGAAGGATCTTAGCAGCTTTAGTTCCACCTACTGGTAACAGAGTGCGTAAAACATAACACCATTTATTACGGCTCATTTCTGTGGTTCGTTAATGCATATCAAAATTTTAATCAGTTATTTCTTGAGTGAGAGAATGCAAGGAAGTTTTAGAAATCTTTGTGAGTCATTTCTTATAAGTATTATTTTCTTTTTGGGATTAGAAATGAAACATTTCATGCATTCAGTTAAATATCCAAACGTATGACTCATGAGTCATAAGTAAATTAAAGTTGTAAAGAAAAATATGTTGTTGGATTCATGGATGACTTAAGAGTGACAAATAGATGTTTATGCTCTGTTCAAAAGCTAATTTTAAAACTACAGGTACTAGTTTACTATAATAACTTACTGCTCATGTCTAGATTGGATAAGGCATTGCATTTAATTGTATGAAAATTCGGAATAAAGTAATGTCTCGAACCTGTTACAGAAAGATATGAGTGTGGTTTAGGTTATTTTCTTCACGAAAGGGAAATGATTTTATGAATTTGACGATGAAGGAATAATGCACATAATAGTTTCTTATTCATTTTAAGGATAAGGAAATATTTTTGTGGCAAACTTGGTTCTTTGCTATTTTGCAGGGGATCTGGGTTGAGGGAAATAATAGAATATATGGAGGTGAAGCGATTCAGGAAGTATGTTTGGAAGCTTGTTAGATTGGGAGTATGTTTGGGAGCTTATTAGATTTGATACTTCTCTATGGGGTCGGTTTCTAAGTTCTTTTGTAATGATCAATGAGGTGTTATTCTTTTGGATTGGATCCCCTTTCTTTAAATGGACATCCTGTCATAAGATTTTTTTTTGTATGCCTTGTATTATTTATTTTTCTTAATGAAAAGCTCGGTTTCTCATAAAATTTTTTTTTCTTATTTTGCTTATGGTCTTTTGGGCGAATTAATTGTCGGACCTTGAACTTAGCTGATAGTGTACAGCTGGCAATCTTATATTCTCTCTCGCTTCACACTCACACATTTTCTGTGCTTGCTCTTTTTTATTATGAAATATACTTTTGCTGCTGAAAGTAAATGGATGACTTTCGTTTCATTGTCTTATTGATTTAAAGTAGTTCACATTAACAGGCAGTTGACACAGTTGTGGCTGGAATTCTCCACGACATAGTTGATGATACATGTCAAAATTTGCACAGCATAGAAGAAGAATTTGGTGATGAAGTAGCCAAGTTGGTGGCCGGTGTATCCAGGTTAAGTTACATAAACCAGGTATTATGAACAAACTATTGAGGTCAAAACTCTTTATTGAAGTTTGGGTTTTTTTAGATTAGAAAAAAGGTTTAGGTTTTTTTTTTTTTTAACATCTAGAGAATGGTGTTTTTTGTTTGAGGCATTGTTCATGCGTGAAAAACTAAATATTAAAGGTTCAGACGTAGTAAGCTGGATGTGTGATGCCATAAGGAATGTAAAGCACTTGAAGTTTTCAAATATGTACGCGTGCAGCCTGGATATCTTTCACTTGGATCTTATCTGGCTTTTCTGTTCTTCTTTAGGGATTCTTTGACCCTGTGATAACATTGTTTTAATGTTACATCTGTGTTATGCGCTAATTTTTTTTTTTTCCTAAAAAGAGAGATTCTTATTTCTTTTTTTGGAGTATTATCAATATTAATTTGTACAACTATGATATAATTTTATATTTTCTGCAGTTGTTGCGTAGACATCGCCGGGTAAATGTGAACCAGGGTTCGCTAGGTCATGAAGAGGTATTGATTGTTGAGAACGGTGTGCATTAAAGTTTGTAGAAAGATAAGATGAAAGTTCCACGGTCCAAATTTTATCTTGTGCATTAAATTACATTCATCCAAATATAAGGGTAGAGCTCTTGAATCTTATTTGGAGGCTTTTTGTATGACCCCACCAAATTATATGTAATGCACATAATGATTTATGAGAATTTATTTTCCTATCGTTTGCATATTGCTTAGCACTATGGCTAAACTTCAAGTCTGTTCTAGGAAATGTCTCTCCGTGAAGCAGAGATTTTGGCATATGTTTGTACGTTCACTTAGCTATGTACTTTTATAAGTGCATTTCGTTGCATTATTTGAAATGTGGTTGTACCCAAAGGTATTTATTCCAAACCTAATAAACATGGAAAGACTTGGGGGAAATTTTTCTAGTGGACGTACTTATGTCTAATTTTTTTCTGCAACTTCACACTCTGTGTTAGGCTTTTCTGCAAACTGTGGCTAAGCCCTAAGACATTACCATGAAAAAGACTGTGCAGTTAAGAAGTTAATTTCCATTCGATATAAACATATATGGATGGGTTCAATCTTCAACCATTGCAATGATCTGACTATATGGTTATAAAATATTATCGACTTCCTTTAGATATGCATTTTGCACGCATATATTTGGCTTCTGGGCACTCTTTCTTATGCTTTAACTATTCATTTTAGGCAAATAAATTGCGAGTTATGCTCTTAGGCATGGTTGATGATCCACGTGTCGTGCTCATCAAGCTTGCAGATCGTCTTCACAACATGAGAACCATGTACTAACTCTTCACTTATGTTCTGATAATCAGTATATGTATGATGGGGTGATTCAGTTTCTCCCCTTATTTTTCTCTTTCCCCTTTTAAATTCCTCAAACTACATTCTTTTCTTCTTCAAAATTGTCAGCCTCGTCTTTTCGTTTTCTTGAGAAACGGTAACATTTCATAAATGATATGAAATTACAAAAAAAGGGATAAATGCTAGGCTGCAAACAAGGAAGATTACAAAAAATTCTTCCAATTTGCATAAAGATCATTTGAACTATTGTTGTTGAAAGGAGCATATAATTTATGCCAAGAGAGAGCTAGCATTTAGGAAGTTGTCAAAAATTTTGACTATACTGGTGGAAGTTATGCTATTCCTGTCAAGCCACGGTTGCCAATATAAAGCTCTATTAAATCGACCAAATGATCTTTTCTTTCATGAAAAGATGGCCCACCAAGATATTAATGATGAGGCTGTTTAAGTTGTAAGCCACATGCCAATTGAAGGAAGAAAGTATTAAGGTCCGGAACTCTTCTGTGAAGGAGTAATTGAGGAAAATGTGTCCTTGAGACTCCACCTCTTCTTTGCAAAAAATACACCATTCAGAAGAGAGAGATTACGAAGAAAACCTCTTTTGATTGCAATTTATTAGAGAAAATGAAAATATAGAAGTCAATATAAGTGGGGATGCTTTAATTTTAAGATTGCGCAATAGGTTTGACTGAACTTTATGGCTTGCAGCTTTATGAGATAGTAATTTACCTTGATTATTTTTGACAGTTATGCTTTGCCACTGCCTAAGGCTCAAGCTGTTGCACAGGAGACCTTGGTTATTTGGTGCTCACTCGCTTCTAGATTGGGTTTATGGGCATTGAAAGCTGAACTTGAAGATTTGTGCTTTGCGGTTCTTCAGGTTGATCGTGGTCTTTCTGGGTCATAACTTTTTTTTTTAGTACAACATGTGGGTGTATTTTTGGGTCATAACTTATTTTCACATATATGTATAGAAAGCTCATTAGAAAAAGAAATAACTATGACAAATAGTTAATGATTAAATTATTTGTACATCTGTTTGGAGTATGAAAGGCCTTGCTTATATCATTGTACACTTAAGTACTCATTCGATTTCAATTTTTTCTTTGTATCTAATTGTACCACGCTGACTTGGTAATTCTGATATTGATTCTCTGTAAATTGATTCAATTCTCATTGGACAATTTTCAGCCACAAATGTTCCTGAAGTTGCGTTCGGAATTAGCTTCCATGTGGATGCCTAGTAGCAGAGCTGGAAATTTTCGGAAAATATCTGCCAGAACCGAAATGCCACCATCGGTTAAAGACAGTTCAACTTATTGTCACAATATACCAGTAACTATAACTGATGAGACCACGAACATGAAGGCAAGTACCTATAATTAAGGACAAAATTTTCTTGAGTGTGCTTTGTACTTGGTATCTAGGGGCAAATGTATCCTTTTATAAACATTTTTGTTAAACCTTATTCCCAATCAAGTTAAAATGCCTGTTTCTTTTAATCAACATGGCTTAAAATTTATTTTCCATTTTATTTGTTTCACTCTCTTTTTTTTCTTCACTTTGCACATGACGAAAAAGTATACTTTGTCTTGGCTTTGTTTCCTTTGTAGTCTCCATGTCGGGTGGGTTTGGTTTTGTTACATGGTCTTCCTTTGTACTTTCATTCATTTTATTGGGAGCTCTGAAAGGTGTATGTTTGAAGGAGATAATTTGGAATATCTATGTAAAATGTAGTTGTCATTTTATTTCCGACCTAAGAATACTAGATTAGACTCCAATTATTTCCGTTGGACGGAATCCCAACACCACTCCTTGTGGTACTAAAAAAAATTGTTATTGTGATTTATTGTTTCCATGTCTATGTGGCGCAGCAGTTTCTTAGATTTTGTCTTTTGTGGGGGTTGGGGTTTATATTGAGTAGTTCTTGAAGAATCATAGATTAACAAAATTTTCATCCTATCCTTCTCTACTTTCAGGAACTTTTGGAAGCTGTAGTGCCTTTTGACATCTTGGTGGACAGAAGAAAACGGACAAATTATCTAAATAGTCTCCAACGAAGTATAGGTACTTGCATACAACCAAAAGTTGTGCAAGATGCTAGGAATGCTTTAGCATCTCTGGTGGTTTGTGAAGAAGCATTAGAGCAGGAATTGATTATATCAGCTTCGTATGCTCTGCATCTTTAGCTTACTAATCTCTTTATTTTATTCGTGTGTGTGTAGTGCTGCTCATATCTGTCTATTATGCTTCCCCACCTATGCTTGCAGTTATGTTCCGGGAATGGAAGTAACTTTGTCCAGCAGACTAAAGAGTTTATATAGTATATACAGCAAGGTGAGAAATGAATTGTCTCAATTTTAGTGTTATATTGACATGAATGAATCATTAATTAATTGTTGTCCCATTGTGCGCAACTTTAGGATGGGTGCTGTTATTGTATTTGAAAATTCTCCCTCGAATAGCAAACAGGGCAGTTCAAGGGCAATTTATTCTGACAGAATCTCTGCTATTCTAAAATCTTTTATCCGAGAGATTTTGCATTTAATCTCCACAATTATTAGTGGTGAAGCCAGTTTATCTCAGATAATTTTTCGGATGTAGAAATATTATCTTAAATCTCTGTAGGCTGTTCAGTACTGAGTCATTGGGTTGAAAGGATTAAAATTGCAGTTTTAGTTGACTTCTCGCTCTATTTCTCATTATATCTTTTCTCTGCATTCTATTAATTGATTTTAAGTTGGAGCATAATCCTTGGTTTAGTTTCAATTTTCCTCTGCTGTATGTCTCAAAGAGTTTGCTATATGCACACAAATTTGCATGACTTTATGCTGGACTCTGTAGACAACTAGACTTTTCTGTCATCAAGCATTGCTCCGGCATCTTTGTAGCTAACTAATAACAAAACACTATGATGTACCTTTGAATCATTTTTGCTTCTCCACTTTTCAGATGAAACGGAAGGATGTTAGTATTGAAAAGGTATATGATGCCCGTGCATTACGGGTAGTTGTTGGGGACAAGAATGGAACTCTGCATGGACCTGCTGTTCAGTGTTGCTACAGTCTTCTCAACACTGTACACAAGTAAATTGAACTTAAACTTATTGCTTCTTATTTAACCACATGATGTTTCCTCCATCCCTTTTTAAGCTGTATATTGTGTGATGAATCAACTTTTTCATGAGAAAATTTACGTTGGCAGCTTTTCTCTAGCTAAGGATAACTGTTAAGGACATAAACTGTGTTAAGATGTTTGGACATTTTTTAGCAGTAACTTCGGGTTTGAGGTTAACTTAGAACTGTAGTGCTTAATTATTAGTTTCCAACAGAATCCATGTTTTCCCAAGAAAAGGGGTTTATTTTGTGCTGATGTTAACATGTAAAGGATTGTAATAATCCGTATACACTAACACTTTCTTAACACACCGGCAAAACCACATTGATGCACTAGTGATTGTTTGCTTGTGTCTCCAGTGTCATGATTGAATTTATGACAAGGTATTAATCTTTTTATTATTTGTGCTCACTTTCACCCTAAAATTTTTTAATTGATGTACAAATTACAATGGTTTGAGCAAGAATATATGCATAAGTCTAGACATAAAAAGGAAAAGAAAAAATAGAATAGAACAAGGATTTCAGTAGAGGTTTACTTGTTCTTTCGTTATTATTTGGTCCCGTATGGACTTCATGTTCACCCCCCTAATTTTATTTAACCTTGATTAAGTTCCATAACATTTCAACTCTAACTGGATAGTTATTTTTTTCATCTTAATAAATCCTCAAATAAATATTGAAAATTGGAAATGGAATAGCCATGAACATAACAATTTGTATAATGATTAGTAGAATAGAATATAGCCATAGTCAATTTTGGTTTGTTTATCAAAGAGATGTGTATTACTAATTGATCTCGTAATCTGAATGGTCTTCAAGAGATCTCCGAATCATTAGGATGGCTATTGTTTGTGAGAAATGAGCTGTTCTAGCCTATTCCTCAGGAAGATTTATGGGAGGGGTATCTGCATATATTTTTACTTGATTCTGAAAAATATAGTTATCTTCTTTGTTAATCTAGATTATATTTCAAGCAAACAGTTGCCGGACATGGGTATTTTATTCAATTTCATTAAATACATACTCTCTGTAATTTCTTCATGACTCTGATTTTGATCCGGTAATTCCTCATTGTGTTATTTAATTTCCACTGCAGGTTATGGACCCCCATTGATGGTGAATTTGATGATTACATTGTTAACCCGAAGCCTAGTGGTTACCAGGTTAAAGATGTTTATGCTATTTTGCTAGTGAAGCCATCTTTCTCATTCATTAGTGCTCAATTGCCAAACAAAAGCCTATATCTCATGTTAGAAACTTCAATATTTTAGCTTTTTAAAAAAAGTTGTTTTGTAAACAAAGCTTTATTGATGAAATTAGTTCATCAGAGAACCTACTCACGGCTGCTTCCAATCCACTTTCAGTACACCTTCACATCTTTCAGTAGCTTTGCCATCAGCCCTTAGTTCAAGATTTGATTCCAAAGGACTTTCTGCTAGTCTGGAGCCCAAAAGGGATGATTGAGATAAGCCTCACTTGTATGGATTTGGAAACTTCAATTTGAAGGAAATCTTGATTTAGGTTGATTTTATTTTGTGAAATTCAAAATATTTTGGACACAATTTTTTGCTTGACTATTCCAGAGCAAAAGCCAGCCACCTTGTCATTTGGGAATCTTGTATCAAGATTCCTGTAGATTCATGCACCACCTCAATCTTGTGTTTATTTTCTCTATTTGAACAATTTTTTTTAACAAGAAACAAACTTTTCATTTATCTATGAAAAAGAAGAAAATATTTAAGGATATAAGGAGCGAAAAGAGAAATGAGAAATGAAACAAAAAGAGAATAGAAAACCGAAGATACAAGAAATAAGCCAATAAAGAACAAAGAGCAAAGCTCCTGAGAATTTTAAGCCAAAGACAGCCAAGGGGGAAACAAAAAGCTTCAAAGCCGAAACTTTAAAACACTATAGGGCTTCAAATCCACTTCTTTATGTGAGTGTTAAGATGGATCTTTCTTTTGAGAGTGTAAACAAATCTGCTCACTTCAGCCACGGTGAGATAAAGGATTGCTGTTTGTTCCAAAACAAAAAGGAAAAAAAAAAAAACTGAGAGACTCCTTGTATTCCACGACTTAAAGATACTGCCCACAACGCCTTAAAGCCGCTGGAGTAGCTCAGTTGATTAGAGCGTGTGGCTGTTAACTAGGTTCAAGCCCTTCTTCTAGCGCTTTAAGACTATTTGAACAACAGATTTGAAAGTATTGTTTTTCTTTTAGGATAAAGTTTGAGTCCAACTATTAGGGGATGAAAGCCATGGGGTGTACAATGTATTTCTGTGTTTGACACCATTTACCATGTACCGAGGAAATATTACTCTAAATTAATCCAGAAAACTACTAAAGTTAGGGAATTGAAGTATATTAAATTGGTTGTCCGCATATTGACTTTTAGACTGTTTTGTGTGGGTAGATAATGATTTACTCGAATTGGAATTTAATTGTTTAAGAGTTTTTCTTTTTCTGGAATGTACTCCTGATTTACTCATGGCCTCCTCATAACTTTCAATTTATGATTTCAGTCTCTGCACACTGCAGTACTAGGTCCTGATAACTCGCCTTTGGAAGTTCAAATAAGAACACAGGTCTTTCTTCTTTCAAATTCCTGATGCAGTTTGAGTTTCTTATAGTCTTTCATTTTGATCATTTAATTTTTACTTCTCTTTTTAGAGGATGCATGAGTATGCTGAACATGGACTTGCTGCACATTGGCTTTATAAAGAAAACGGAAACAAAATCCCATCAATAAGCAGCAAGAATGAATCTGGAAGAGAAGTATCCCGATATTTCTCTGATACAGAGTTCCAGAATTCCATCGAAGGTGATTCTAATAAGTATAGTTTTCTCCAAGCTGGCCATCCTGTTCTTAGAGTGGAAGGAAGTCACTTGCTTGCGGCTGTTATTATTAGGTATGTCAGTTGTTTATATTTATGCCAACAGCAAACAAATCAGTCGGTTATATTTACATTTGATTATGTATTTGCAGAGTGGATGAGGATGGAAGGGAACTGCTTGTTGCTGTGAGCTTTGGACTTGCAGCTTCTGAAGCCGTGGCTGACCGAAGATCTTCCTTCCAAATAAAGCGTTGGGAAGCTTATGCAAGATTATACAAAAAGGTTCGCCTTCCTCGACTGTTCAGATAATCTGGAACTTATTAATAGCAAGATGTCCATTTACTGCAATTGAACTTTTTTTAAGAAAATGATATTCCAGGGAACTTGTGTGATGATCTAGTTGGAGGAACATTAAACGTCTGAATTTAATATGAACTGAAATTAAAACCAAAAAGTAGGCTATGATGATCTAATGGTCCACTTCACGCTCAACTGAAAAGTAGGCTATGATATACCCTATCTTCTTGTGAAATATTTTTTCTCAAAATTTTTTATTCAGATTGAGATTTGTTATAGTGCTGCTGCTGATGCATTTCCAGGTGTCTGATGAGTGGTGGTGTGAACCTGGTCATGGGGATTGGTGCACTTGTCTAGAGCAGTACACGCTCTGTCGAGATGGTATGTACCACAAGGTATGTGTTAAGACTGGCGAGTTTTTGCTTTAATTAAAGGTTGATTTAATTTTCATTTTTTCCCTTTATGTCTCCACCATTATATTCCTTTACATACATACATATATCTGTGTAATTTCATTGATATGAATGAAAGAATAAAAAAGAGAGCCGAAGGAATTACAGAGAGGGGGTGGGAGGAAGAGAGAGAGAGTGATTGATAGAAATATGCTGTTCAAGTGGCCGTATCACTTGACTTTCTTCCTATAAAGTTAATGTTTAATTTAGGCTTCAATTTTTAGTGAACATTCCGTGGTCAGTAATCTAGCCCTCAGGCTGAGAAAAGAGAGAGATCTTGCAAAATTAAGGGGAAACTTAGTCTGTTCAAGTGAGCGTATGGTTTGAATTGCATCACAGAAAGTTGATCTCTCGATCAGTCTCCCAATATTGTAAGTGAACATGCTGCTCCCAGTAGTCAAGTCATGGTCTGACGGCTGAAGCGTGTCCCCTACAGTAGCATTTAATCTTTCATTTTCATGCTTGTTAACTCTTTTAAAATATAGATTATTTACTGAAAATAAGTGCAACCTAGTGTAAAACCAGGATTCTATCATCACTGTAGGATTAATCTCTCCCCTCAATTGTATTCAATTCAGGAGTTTGCTAATCTTATCACGAGCTTTGCGGTCATTGTTTATGGAGAGTTATTTTACAGGCAAGCTAGGACGGGAGGGGCAATATAGAGTACCGAAATTTGTTTTTCCCTCATACTTTTGTGATCAGCATCCGTCTGATTGCAGTTGCTATTCTAGCACATACAGTCTGAAATTGGATCATGATTTTTTTTTAATATATGTACATATATACATACATACATATATATATATATATATATATATATATATATATATATATATATATATATATATATATATATTTAAAAGAACCAATTTCATTAATGGTATGAAATTATCAAGAGAGTGGGGATAGTCTTGAGATCAGACCATGTGGATAAGCCATTTGAAAGAGGAATGTCGAGAATAACCACTTGTTCAATGAAACTATTGCAAATATGCATGCAACTTGTGAGCCTTCTATATGCACAGATTTTTCCTTGGTCCAGCAAATAGTGTCGAAGTCACCTCCAAGAAACCAACTCTCAATGCAAAGATAGGATAAATCGGTAGGGTCATCCGGAAAAAGTGGCTTTTCCTATTTTCTAGAGGTTGCATAAATCCCTTAAGCCAAAAGTTATGACCATCAAAGAGATGAGAAGGGTTAGTGAGAAGGCACCCTTTGTAAACACTTCTCCAATGCCACGTGCCATAGTTTGCTAGTTCATAACGATTAGTTGCTGTTCTTATAAAATGTATAACGATTAGTTTCTTCCTTCTCATGCAGCAAGATCAATTTGGTCGGCTACTTCCAACCTTCATTCAGGTCATTGATTTTACAGAGCAGGAAAAATCTGAATATTGGGCCATAATGTCTGCCATTTCTGAGGGCAAACAGATTGACTCTGCTACAGCTAGGACAAGTACAGACTCAGTCACATCAATCTCCACTGAAGCTAGCATCAACACGAAGGTTCTATGCTATTGACCAGTCATAATATTTTTTACCGTCATTCTTTACTTGATTAGAAAAACATTAAATAAATCTACAGGTATTTCATGCGATTTAATGCCAGAATCCCATTTTTGCAACATTCACCCAATCTTATAACATGTGCAAGAACAGAAAGAAAAACTAGATTCTCACAAGTTTCTTTTTTTTTTTTTAATAAGGAAACTAGACTCTCATAAGACTGATGTTATATGGAAGTATTATAGGGTTGTGGTTGCATGGGGATGGAATAAAGGTCATTGTCCTCGCCCCCGAAACTGCATGATGTTTAATCTTAATGTTTACTTCAAATTCCAGGTACATTTTCTAAGGACAATGCTTCAATGGGAAGAGCAACTACTTTGTGAAGCTAGTAATTTCAGACAAGTTAAACAAGGAGGAGAGCATTATGTTCGTCGAAGCTCTGTCACGCTCGAGGAAGTGGTAATTGTGTGCTGGCCCCTTGGAGAGATAATGAGGTTAAGCTCTGGTAGCACTGCTGCAGATGCCGCTAGAAGGGTCGGATTCGAGGGGAGGTTGGTATTGGTCAATGGTCTGCCAGTTTTACCCAGTACAGAGTTGAAAGATGGAGATGTAGTTGAAGTAAGAGTGTGAATAACTTTTCAATTGTACAGTCAGTTAGGTCAAAGGGGGAAAATCAAATCAAGATGTGGTTTAGTGTTTTGCAGGTTTATGTGAATATTAGTTGTTATTTACAGTAGGAATAGTTGGAACCATTTCATCACTGGTGGACACCCTGTGATGCTGCCTTTGGCTGAGAAATTTATAAAAGCCATGAAAGGAAACACAAGGTTTTCAGCTTTTAAAAGTAACAGGAGCTGCAAGAGTACTGTGAGGAGCATGATGATAGAGCAAATGCTTGGCTGGAACTCAAGGTGCCTAAAAAGAATGTCAAATTTTTTGGTACTGCTGTTGTCATCATATGCGAGTTCTCGAAGTGTGAATGCTGTTCTCATACGTAAAAATGTACTTTTTAACTTTTTGTTTGTCCTTTTCTGGCTTCAACTGCATATACTTCAAACAGAATCTGATTACAATGTAATTTTTTATGTCAAAGATTTGATTGTTATTTAGGAAATACATTGTTAAAAAAATGGTATTTTTGGCATTGTTTTATTTTTGTTGCATCTTATATTTTCGTTGATTTGTTTGAATTAGGACTCGAGCTCATTTTTCAAAAATGGGAAGCAGGGAGGCGTCAAGGAAGAAGTGGAAAAACGATATCGGGTTTATTCATCAGTAAATATAAATAGTTCAAAAAAATTTAATCCTTTTTTTTTCATTATCATCATAGAATTGCAACAAACTCATTTCTCATCCCTTCTCAAAAATTAAGTGGGTTATTTATTTGCTAAATTACGTGATAATTCCCTCAATATCTCTTCGAAATAAATATGATCATAGGAATAAAGAGAACTTCAATACTCGATTAGAATTTGCAACCAATACAAATGAAATACAAGGTAATCAGTAAACTCTATTTAGAGTTGTTCGAGCAAGAGAGCATGAAACGGTTAGAATATGCTAAATTTGCAATTACCTGTAGTTCAAAATTCTCGAAGAAGATTAAGGTAGATATATATAAATCCAAGAAATCATCAAATCTACACAAATTACATAGTTGAACCCAAGACCATGTTGGAAGGAATCAACAGTTGCAAAGGGGACTAATCATTTTCATTAGCAAATGGATTGTAACATAACAAAATTTAGAAGCCAAATATTTAATCAAGAAAACATCAAAAAGCAAAAATAGTAGCTGATATTTGTTAACTAATTTCCATTTACCAACAATCTATGTAGATGTACTCCCCCAAGTGTGAGATCAACACATCCCATGGCCCGAACAAATAGAAATATTGAAGAACACTGTGGATATCAGCCATCTCGCTCCCTCAGGCCTCAACAGCTATAACTCAAAGGTGTGCGATGAAGCCTAAGAATCACTGTTTGCAGCAACATTTGTGTCAGATGATGCAACTATTTCTCTAAAGGCTTCCATGTCGATCGTCATATCGTCATTTATTTCAGCCACAACCTCTGCCATGACTTCATCCCTGTCTCCAGCTACAGATTCGATCCCATTTTCTACTGCGTCAGGTAAATGCTTTTGTTCTTCAAGACCTTTCTCTGGCTCCTCCAACTCGTCGGGTTTTGGTTCAGAGGATGGTAGTCGCGGTTCAGAACTGATGGCAAGTGTGGATGTCACCAAAAGATTCTATAACGTAAACTTGAATAATTAGGCATGATATTGAAAATTATCCATCAAGTTATTAATAATACATGATACTATTTAAATAAAAATTTATCCATCATGATACTTTTAAGATTTTAAAAAATGTTTTCCATAATTTTTCACACTTGATCAAAATTGTAATTTAGCTGACACTAATAGTGAACCAATAAATAAGAGCATTATACATGAAGATAATATACTACATATAAACAGTTTAATGAGGTCTGAGGGACATATGGATTATGAAAGGAAAGAAAATCCAGGCCGAGTAGCATACTCATGTGCCAAATGGAAGAAATTTAAAAATATTAAAATATATATATATTCAACACCACAAAACTCCATACCTTCTCCAGAGCTAGAGCAAGCTTTGAGAGATTTGGATAGATGCCCCGTGCATCTAGCAGGATCTGTTTTGACATCAATTTTGGATGAGAAAAGATTAATACAATGATAAGAATAATAATTAGGTCCAATAAATTTGGTAAAAATTCTTGTCATGCATATATGTCCCAACCATCCAAGAAGAAAGAGGAAGCTATTAGAAAAAACTATTGTTATACTATTTCTATATTTAAAAGCACTATAAGAAGTGTGGAGAGGCAAAAAGGGAACAAGATATGGTTGCTTCAAATGTCAATATTTGACCGAAGATTTTCTAGTTTTTGGATAATGAGATCTATCTAATAAGGTATACAAGAGAGCTGAGGTTATCAACTACCAGTGGCACATTCTTCAACAGTAATTATTAGCAATCTCACTGATCATTAATGAACGAAAAATTAAAAAATGAAAATATTAAGAAAGAAATTGCATTTAAGCGAACGTAGAATCACCTCACAAATCCTTTGAAGGGTAAAGGGAGGGCCTTCAATGAAGCTAAGAAGTGCTGCAATCCAGAAAACATACTGAAATAAGTCTCATTCAAAAAGGAAGTTAACTATCTCTCTTACACTGCGATCAATTTGAGAGCTTTTTCGTAATCTCAGTTTATTTTTTTAGTCGAACTATTAATAATTTCTCCCTATTATGTGACTAGAGTGCTTTTTTTCTTTTAACAAGAAACTATTTCATTGAGATATGAAATATGATAACAAAAGGGGCCCAAATTGGGCTACAAAAAAGCTCTCCAATGCTCTCCAATTAGATAGAAGGGAGGAGAAACTATAGTGATGAATAGAGTGCCATTTTTTTGTCACCCACAAGTTGCAGGTTGAGGAATTCCTTAACTCCCTCTTATCTGACTCTACTTTCTTTTCTAATATCCGTAAGTGTCTGGGCCAGCTTGCACGCACCTCGACTAATCTCACGGGACAACCGCAGCCCACCTGACTCTACTATACTTGGTTGCCAAGGTAAATCTTTGTTGTTAATAAACGTTTGGGTTCCTATAAATAGATTTAAAATTAATTAAAAATATATATTTTTTAAAATTAGTCTTTTTATTACATAAAAGTCCCAATCTCACCAAGTTCATCGAATTAAATTAGGGCCACTGTTTGACAGCATTGGGTAGTGAAAAGACCTAGATAGGTGACTCCAAATGTATGGCCACTTGAATGATTCAAACCGTAATTTACTGCCCAGCTTTTTTTTTGGATAAAAGACAATATATTGAAGAACTCAAAAGAGGGGAGCACCCTAAGGGCAGACAGAGGAGATCACCCTACCCAAGCACTAAAAAATAGCTGCTTTCCAATCATTTACAATTTGTAGGCTATAATTTACTGCACAACATTGGTTTTTCAAATATATCTATGATAAAGAATAGGAAGTACAGAAGCTGACTAACCTTCATCTAACCGCTTAACCAGCTCCGGGAAGGCTTCTCCTAGAGTACTTTGTTGTTCACTTGGCATTTTTGCTTCAGGATACTCTGACAGCACCTTCACAAAGCAGGAGAGAAAGGAAAACAAGTGTCATTTACTCATAAAAAACTGAAAGCAACAAATACGATATGCATGTCCACTATGCGAGAACCTTAAAAAACATCCACTGTAGAGTGGCAAAAGAAATACATTTATGCGTACCTCCCCATACCTGCTTCAGCTGAAGGGATAGCATGCTCTTCAATTTCTCCCAATCATGCCTGAGAACATAAAATACATATACACAAATATGTATATATTGTAAGTTCTCAACAGTCAAGAACAAGAGAAAGTTCAACTGATCACGCACTTCAAGTTTTATGTGGCTGATGTTGTGCTGTGTAGCACAAATTTTATGTGGCAAAATTTCCAAGAGGAAGAGTAAGATTTTGGAGAAATACAATTAAAGCAGTGTCCAACTCTAATGTCTTAGCTTCCTCGAGGTTTGTCTATCTAATTATTTTGGCAAGTATACCAGCAGATTTCTTAAAAGGTCTTTCAAAGGCTTTTTCTACTCTATTCAATCTATTGATCAAAAGCTTTAGCTTCCTATATAAAAAACAATGAATTATGGCATATATATGGTTGGGTTTGATTCTTTTTGAATGTTCAAGTTAGTGTTAACCCCAACAAACACAGCACTGACACAACAAACATCTCACATCAGATATTGATATAGCAGGCAGCCACTTGGCCAAATCTCCACCATTGATTTTCTCTTGGAAGGGGACAAAAAAATCATGGATAAAGGAATTCATTAAAAACAAAGAAAATATAAGACATATCAAAATGATTTATTATAGGAAATATTTCTCACATTCCAAATGGCATACTAAAAAGGGAAGTCCAATTAAAGATAACATAAGGGGAGAAATTACAATAGAGACATGCTCCCAAATTTGTGAAGGTTTTACCGATAAAAATAATCATCTTATTTCAGAATTTAATCAAAGAACCACTTGGCCTCCATATTTAAATTGCACTGGTCTATAATCACTCAATATACCAAATGCTTTAGATTCTGAAATTAAAATTTTTACACTTTCTAAATCTGCAGATGTTAGATGTACCACCTTGATATTCACACTAAGTCCATAGTATTAGATAGAGTAGAAAGATACCAGAATTTCCCTGTGGATGCAATCGCTTCTAGTGTACCTCTAACTTCTTCCTCAGTCATTTCTTGTTTTTGCTCCATGGCTCTGAAAATTAAAAGTTCAAATATAATTTCTTAAAAAGATGGAGACAATAGAATGCATTATAACCATCCTCACATGATATAATATTATATAAAATGTGGGAGAAGCAACAACTGAAATATAAGACACAGATTTCA